CACTACTTTAAAGTAGTGTTAATATTTTCAAGTTAAATGAAAGGTGTGAAATGCCCCCATGAATATTATGATAGATACTTTGAAATTACAGGACTGCAAATCATTTATGAAATTATGCTAATTCATATAAAAACATTGAAAGTATTTTAATAACCTTTACAGTAATTAGGCTAATTATAGGCTGACAATTCAAATAATAAAAAAAAATAAAATCAGTCATGTTTTGAGTGCATCTATAGAAGAGGTTCTACTAACATAGTGTATTTGTATGAATTTAAATAGCTACTAATAAATTTGACTTTTCTGCATCAAACTTTGCGATTCTTGTATAATCCTTCAACTGTTTCAAGAATTAATCTGTTCAAAACTGAACCTAAAGCCGTTTAAATTGATTGAAAACCAGCTTAATTGAAGAGCTTATTTTCAAATTTTTCACAAGAGGCTGTAATAATTGGGATGATATAAACGATTAAAAAGTTTTAAACTTTATTAAAACAACATGTATTAGAATCACATGAAAGATTACGTCTGCTGTAAATTAAGCTACTTCGCGTTACCTAGCATCTTTTTGTATTTTAATGAATTGAATCCTCCTGTTAAAAGGAAGTTTTTCCTCTCCACTGTCGCTACAAGCATGCTTAGTGTGAGGGATTGCCTTTGAGTCAATGAGTCGATGCAATCAACTGGTTTTCCTTGGAGGGAAAACTCTGAATCAATCTGACTGGATGATCTGGTTGAACTGTAAAGTGCCTTGAGATGACGCGTGTTGTGAATTGGCGCTATAGAAATAAACTGAATTGAATTGAATTGAATTTACCTATTTTAGTGTTTGGATGAATGCCTCTTAAACTAGTAAAAACATGCTCCACTAGTTTGTATTTAATTTTTTGGGTTCAGATGCTAAATCTTTAACATTGAATTTTCTCTTTCAAGGTGGAATGAAAGCTATAAGAAGGATTTGTTCTCCAGTCGTATCGACACAACTAAAGCTCTGTCTCAAGCCATCGCTGCGTCTTCCAGTCCGCCTCACTCCTGGGTGCTGGTTTCAGGCATTGGTAAGAGTGTCCCCCAGTAACTGCTCGTCGATCTGCTGCAAGAGGGAAACGTGAGGAAAATTTCTGATGGGCTTTGTCTGTTCTTTCTCATCGACCGACAGCGTGCTACAAACCCAGTCTGACAGCTGAGTACACCGAGGACAGCGATTGGACGCCATTTGACCTCCTGTCACAGCTCGTCAAAGAGTGGGAGGCAGCGGCGTCCCTTCCTGAGAGGGCAGCGAAAACCACCAAACAGGTGGTGATTCGTGCCGGTATGTGTTGGTGAAGAAAATAAGGGAGATTTGTTTATGCCACATATTATTTATTAGTAACAATAAGCTAGAGTTTCAATTTAGTTTATTTAATTCACAACAGATGCCATCTCAAGGCTCTTTACAGAGACAATGCAGTCAGATTAAGGAAAACCAAGTGACTGCATCCAGTCACTGAATGGAAAGATAGAATTCCTGGATTGAGGCGACAAATTTTCGCTCGCATTTTGATCTTGGTTCAAATCACATTCAAACTGCTCAGCTCTGATAGGTATTAGTGTTGCACCAATACCAGTATTGTGTGGGGCCCCGATCCAGCACTAAAATGGTGCTATCGGTAGCGAGTACCAACAAATAGGCAGTGATGGGAGTAACGCTGTTACCTTTTTTTAGTAATGAGGTAATCTAACAAATTACTTTGACTGTAACTATAACGCAGTTACCATTGCAGACACTCCGTTACTGCGTGTTACTCAGGTCGCACAATTAACCTTTTTTTCATGATAGGACTCGTGCGCGCCTTGTCATGAGAGAGGGGAGGATGAGAATGGCTGATGTATAGTGAGATTCCGTCTGTCAGTTGGGTAGGTGGGTGTTTCTGCTGGCGGGTGTTAACGTACAGCACACACAGAGAGATGGAGAGTGAGGAGGACTCTAGCAGCAAAACAGTGTTTTCCAGATGGAAATACCGGTGTTATGTCGAGCTGCGTTTCCCCGTCAGATACGGTTTCCCCTGCATCTCCGCACAGCGCAGGCGGCACGATTCACGATACATAGATGTTGCAGTATCTATAACAACCCAAACACACAGGGTTTCAGAATTAGACATCCCCAGCTATTAATTTCATACACTCACCAGATCTGAACGTCCTGTTAAAAAACTTCACACCCATGAGTAGAGGCAATGCAGCCTGATGATATTTACACCGCATCAGATAGCGTTCCCCCCATGTTAAGCAGGGGGGACACTATCTGACAGGTTTATAGGCCCATCAGATAGCGTTCCCCTCTGATGTCATTTACTTTGAGTTGCATAATGCATAAAATCTCTGCAGGTCCTTTATGGGAGAATTATCCTGCCATAATGCAAGAGCACATAATTTCAATTTGAGAAAAGAATTTCATCTTCTTGCACTCAAAACTTATAATGCTCACATTCAAAACATGCGCTCTCTCAAATATTTTCTCTTCTCTCTCAAATCTTTGTTTCTTCTACTGAGTGTG